CAGGGACAAAAGGATTTTTTTCAACACACATTAACAAAATACAGCATCCATTCATCACAATACCTCTTAACAAAGTGAGTGTAGAAGGGACGTACCTCAACATAATAAAGACCATATATTATCAGCCCACAGCTAACATCATATTCAATGTTGAAAAGCTGAAAACTTTTAAGATCAGGAACAAGACAGGATGTCCACTCTTACTACTTTTATTCAACATAGTACTTACTGGAACTCCTAGTCAGAGCAGTTACACAACAGGAAAAAAAAAAAGGCATATAAATCAGAAAGGAAGAAGCAAACTGTACATCTGCAGATGAAATGACACTATATACACAAAATCTTAAAGGCTCCACCAAAAAACCTGTTGGAATTAATTCAAAACTTCAGTAAAGTTGCAGGATACAAAGTCAATATACAAAATCCCATTACATTTCTATTAATATACACTAATAACAAACCATGGGAAAGAGAGCAATTTTATGTGCCATGCATCAAAATGCAACTGTAGAAGACATAAATAAATGGTAAGATACTCTATGTTCATGAGCTAGAAGAATTAATATTGTTAAGATGTTCATACTACCCAAAATGATCTACAGATTCAATGCAATTCCTATCAAAATTCCAATGGTATTTTTTACAAAGAAAGAAAATAAATCTTAAAACTTGTATAGAATCACAAAAGACTCTAAATACCCAAGGCAATCTTAAGGAGAACAAAGGTGGAGGTATCATGCCTCTGATTTCAAACTATACTTTAAAGACACAATATTGGGATAAAAATGGACATGTTAAATTAATGAAAAAGAACAGAGCCCAGACATAAATCCATGCATATATGGTCAATTAATTTATAACAAAGGAGCCAAGAATAAACAAAGGAAAAGGGCAGTCTCTTTGATAAATGGTGCTGGGAAAACTGAACAACCACATGCAGAAGAATAAAACTTAAGCCCAGTCCTACAGTATACACAAAAATCAACTGAAAATGGAATGCAGACTTGAACCTAAGACTGAAATCATAAAACTCCTAGAAGAAAACACAGGAGGGTAAACTCCTTCACATCGATCCTAGCAATGATTTTTTGGATTTGACATGAACAGCAAAAGCAGCAAAAGCAAAAATAAACTGTGATTAAATCAAACTAAAAGCTTCTCTATAGCAAAGGAAACCATTAAAAAATGAAATGGAGAAAATATTTGCAAATCTTGTATCTGATAAAGGATTAATATCCAAAACATATAAAGAACTCATACAACACAATATCAAAAGAGAACAAGTCCCACCTATCAAGTAGAGTAAAAAATGGGCAGAGGAACTTAATATCCATTTTTCCAAAAAAGACATACAAACGGCCAACAAGTAAAGGAAGAAGTTCTCCCTCAATAACCAATAGGGAAACACAAATCAAAACCACAATGAGGTTGTCACCTCCCACCTGTTAGAATGGCTACTGTCAAAAGGGTAACAACACACACTGACAAGGGCGTGGAGAAATGGGAGCCCTGGTGCACTGTCGGTGGGAACGTAAATTGCAGGCACTGAGCGGAGAAGGCAAACGCACCCCACTCCAGTGTTCCTGCCTGGAAAATCCCAGGGAGGGGGGAGCCTGGTGGGCTGCCATCTATGGGGTCGCACAGAGTCGGACACGACTGAAGCGACTTAGCAGCAGGCACTACAGAACAGTACAGAGATTCCTCAACAAATTAAAAATAGAATTACCACAAGATCCAACAATTCCACTTCTAGCATACAGTCAAAGGATATGAAATTACTATCTTGAATGAAATCTGCACCCTCATGTCAGTACATCATTATTTACAATAGCCAAGACGTGGAAACAACCTCTATCTCCATTGACAGATGAATGGATACAGAAAATGTGATGTGTATATACAGAGAGAGACAATGATATATTATTCAGCCATAAAAGGAAGGAAATCCTACTATTTGCAATAATATGGATGGATCTTGAAGGCATTATGATAAGTGAGGTAAGTCAAACAGAGAAAGACAAATACCATATGATTTCACTTACATTTGGAATCCACAAAAACCAGAGCTGGTGATTATTAGAGCCAAGGGGTCAAAAGTGGGTAAAAAGGGTCAAAGTGGATAAAGTGGTCAAAGGATACCAATTTCTCACTATAACATAAATAAGTTCTGGCAGTATAACATACAGCACGGTGACTGCAGTTAACAATATTTTCTATCTGAAAGTTGTTAAGAGAATGGATCTTACAAGTTCTCATCATGAGAAAAAAAAAAAAAACAACAAACTGTGTGATGCACCAGAACTTGCTGTGGGGATTAAGTAGAAAGTGTGCGTGAAGCTCCTGACGTAGAGCACGCACAAAATAAATGTTCTCAATTATAATCTTCCTCTTTTCCCCCTCCCGTATCATTGTTTATCCTGATTCTTTTGCCTTGGTATATACTCCTTCCCTTCCATCTTCCTTATCGCTGAAAGGTTATTCATTCTTTAAGTATCAGATGAAATGCTATATTTCTTTTTTTTTTTGAAATGCTATATTTCATATGAAGCCTTTCACATCTTTTTATCAACCTAAAAAGAGCACTTTTTATTTTAGCTTCACTTTTTACTTTTCATATTTTACTGTGGTGAATGTTTCACTTACCAGACTATAAGCTTTGGGAGGGAAGGGACAACATATGGTTAATCTACTTCCTAAAATTTAACCAGTACTCTATCTTTAGAAGGTCTCATACATACATTTACTAAGAACAGAAATAAGAAAAGCAAGTATGCCCATCAGAGTTCGGGGAGTTAACCTGGAGTTGTGCATGTGCAGGTAGTGAAGTAAGTGATTAGCAAGCAAGAATCCAAGACAAGAGAGAAGATAAAAAGAAGAGAACTTCTGACATGGTTTTTCCATCTCCCAGGTAAGTTAGGGATCCATGAAACCTCTCTATAGAACCCCAGAAACTTGAGCTGTCTCCCTTTAGATTTCTTTCTGGTTAGGACTTGAGTACCTTGTTCCTTGATACTCCTTTCTCCATCTCTATAGTAAAGACTTAAATTTAGATTAAATGATTCAGAATTTCACAGCTGGAATTACATATTAGAAAACACCCAAACTCAATCATTTGACAGATATGGAAATGTAATCGACAGAAGTTAAATTATGCAAAGTTATACAGTTAATAAACAACAGAGCTGGGAATTCCCTGGTGGTTTATGGGTTTGAACTCTGTGTTTGAACTTTGTGTTCTCAATGCTGAGGTCCTGAGTTCAATCCCTGGTTGAGGATCTAACATCCGGTAAGCTGTGTGGTGCAGCCAAAACAAACAAACATACAAACAAACCCAACAGAGCTGACCTAGTTACAATCTCAATACTCTTTCACTCTACTTAAACAACAGAATTCTAGCATATGTCAAAATGAGTGTATAACATGATCATGAGACATATATGCTATATATTTTTGCCAAATACATCCCCGTATTACCACAATACTGATTCAAATTCAGTCCACCATGATATTCATTTTATGCTGGCTATCTCTGTAATAAATAATTCTATTTTATATTTGCATGAAGTTTACCCTGAGTTATCTTTTATCGAGCTGTATCTTGTCTATTTTGTTGGTGTCACTAGAATTTTTCATAGATTATAGTTTCCCAAGCACTTGACCCATCTGACCCAATTCGCACATCTATATTAATGAGGGAGCAGCATTAACCCTATATAATTCTGTAGATAATCAGTATGCCTCTGTAGAAATAAAACAACTAAGTAAAATTTCCAAAGGTTGAGAACTTAGTAATATAAACTCTACAAAAACATTAGTTATGATTTCTAGAGGGCTCAAAAAAAGAGAAATAATAAAGTTACAAACTGTAGTTAAGTCAAAAACCTTACCTTTAAGTTAAAAGCCAGTAAAAATATTTTATTAAAACCTCTGTTAACATTTGCTGAAATGGAAACTAAAAGCAAAGACACTTAAAGACATATAGATGGTCTACCGATCTACAGAAAGATATCTAATCTTACTTTAGGCCACATTTAAAAAGATGTCACTGTTAACACACAGGAGATATGGGTCATTTTCACAAACCACATAACATTTTTTGACTGTTAATTACTTCTACATTAGAAGATAAGGACAAACCACACGAAGCATAAGGAACTGAAACAAAAACAGTTAAGAGGAGGAGCATGAACCCAAATATATTAATCTTACTGATAGAATTTTTAAAACATAAAGTATACTAATTTGTTTGAAACATAGGCTTGGTCCATTAAAAAGAAAGTGTAACCAATTCATACTACTTATACGCATAGTTTTATGATAAAATGTAGCTCATCCATCAAATCAAGAATACTAAAGAAATTCAGCTAAGAGTCCTTAAAAAATGGCAGGGTATGGGGCAGAGGATGAGTGGATGAAAGAAAATAAAATCGCCCTCAATTTTTAAATGTTCATATACTTTGATATATATTAAAAGCTCGTTTACCTAATTTTTAAGAGAGAGAGAGAGTGTGGTCCTCCAACAGCTTAAGTGAAATCAGGATCGAAAGGGAATGAAGAGGGTGTGCAAAAGGGCGGCACACAGGGCCCCTGGGAAGAAAAGGTGGGGACCTGGACTCAGCAACCTGGATGACTGGGCCCCATCCTCTTGGTAAGTACACTTGATGCCTTTTTTGTGCCTCCTATTAATACCTGCTGACTTTTCTCTGAAAACCAGTGAGATTGCTTAAGTCCTCTTGACTTTACACTGATTCTCCTGGTCTCAAAGAGACAAACCGAATTAGTATTTGAAAGCTTGGATATACTCTGCAGCTGTTAGACTCCGACATTCCAGACTATAGGCTTTTAGTCTATTAGGACTCTCTCCCAAACGGTCTGAATCAGGATATAAACACCTGATTCATCCATATGAGTTCACTCACTGTTGCATGCGTAATTTATAGAAAAGCAGTAGAAACCATATTAATTAGAAAAACTGTTGACATAAGTAGCACACACAGTACCTTTTGATACACAATGGAGCAGACAAGGTCCTTGACAGCAGACAGAGACAGCTCCTGGGCTTCAATGGCAATGCTCTCCCGCGTAAGGCCAATCTGCAGCAGAAATGAGACTGTGTGCACCGAGCCTCTGGAGTTGGTGAGTGACGGCGCCCTGAGGCTGCCATCGGAGAGCCGCGCGGAGAGCCCCGTTTTAGGACTGGAGCACGGAGAAGGAGCCGGGAGCACAGCAGGAAGAGTGGCAGGCACTACGGACTTCTGAGCTGATGCAGGAGAGCTGTTTGCAGACATCTGCCTTTCTTTAATCTTTTAAAACAGTTGTCAATTCTTTTTCAATGGTTATGAAGAGGCCTTAAAATCACAGCGGTAAAAAAATGACTGTAGTTTTGGATTCAGTTGAAAGCTTCTTTATTTCCTCCTTTAAGCCACTCATGCTGATGATGGCAAGTTCTACAACTCTGAGTTGACTATACCAAAGGTTCCACTTCCCTTAATATCAGTCCCATCAAAAGAGTCTTGTTGTTAGGACCACAACCAGGGTTTGGGGAAGGATTTAACATCACTGAATTATCCTCATCAGAAGACAGCTGGCATTGTTTATCTACTAAACATCTTCACCTATTTTAAGTCTATTCTTGTCGCTCTCTTTTAATTTCAGAAAATACATAATGAATAAGAGTTGTTTTTCTGTCAAAATCCTCCTAGTTTAAAAATTAAAATGTTTAGGATTAATCTATTCAGTTCGTATCCTTTGGTTCATTGATCTAACGGGACACTTTCTCAAATGCCCACACCTTAAATCACCTTCTCACATGTCCTCATTTTCATTTTGAAGGAGTAAATTTTTCCAAGATTAAGCACAAAGCTTTTTAAAATAGAACAGGTATATTCCACTTGATGAACGCGTCCATTGAGAAAGGTTGATGCTTTCTGAAATGTAGGTAGCCTGGAAGAAATTTGTTTAAAACTTTTAGTATTTTATACTTACTTAACATTATTTTTAAATTGTAAGAATCCTTACGCTTTCTTTAAATAAGCTTTGGTTGTATGTTTATAATTCACCAATAAATTTTAACAGGTAGCCATTTTATTAGGGCCTACTTATCACAGCCCATAATTTCAGGGACAGTCTGCTGCTCAAAAAACAAAAGAGAAACAAAACACATCCCTGACATTCCTCACTAACACCTGAAACTTAAGGAAGGTCAAAACACTTTATTCCACAAATACACAACTGAGTTATGACAAAAACAGAAAAACAGAAGCGACAAAAAAGAAAAATAAAACTGATACTGTCATAGAAATAAAGTAAATACCACTCAGTCGTACAAAAGATATATAATACTGCCCTAATGTAGACGAGTATTCTTTATTGTATTAAAAGTTTAAATCTAGACAGAAAACTAAAGAAGCATATACTAAACAGAGTTATATAGCACACAAAGAAGTGTAAAAGACACAACTAAGACAGCAAGATCGGAAAAAGTGATCTGTCACAAAAAAATTTCTAAAAGTAAAAAGAACACTAAGCACAGTTATATTTATCACAGTTTTTCATAAAGATAGTTCAAAAACTAAAAGCATGACCTCATGGCTAAGTGAAATGGCTCAAAAAGAGATGGATCTTTCTATTTAGGTTCCATCACATACCTGTAAACAATCCTAATAATAACAAAGAGTGAAGCACTCCAAGCAGCTGCAGAATGGCTCTCTGGACAGTGGTTAACAGGACTAAATAAATTAGGATCAACATAACATAAGATATAACATAAGATAAAACTATAAGATATAGTATTAGGAATGAGAAAGTTCAGGAAAATGAAGGCTTAAGAAAAAACTGCCTAAAAATTACAAAAGCTTTTAGAACTACATTCAGGTAAACAATTTGTAACTCATCTTTCATTGTACAGCACTTAACATCTTATAAATGTTTATACACTTTATCTCATGGTATCTCTTTCGAACTTGACAACGCAAACACTACTTTATTATTTTTGCAGATGAGAAAACTGAAGAACTAGCAGATAAAGTAACCTGACCAGCATCACATGGTTAGTAAGAGATGGAATAGGAATTAGGACCTACTAGGAAGGCAAGTTTCATACTTTCCGACCCAGTGGTATCTCCACAATAACATACTATTTCTCAAAGAGAACAAGGAACTGAGAAAATCACTGCTCAGTGAGGATGTTGTTAAGGTTGAAAGAGCACAGAGAGAAGGCAGAATTGCTCAACTTGTACTTTGCTTACCTTCTCTCAGTTTTTAAGCTAAAACTGTAAAAGAGCACTGAGAACTGAAACTTGAGCCTGGTGAATAAGACAGACTAAAAGATCTTTGAGAGTACAAGTCTGCAGGTCCAGATGCAATCTACTCCATATTGCAAAATCAGTTAAGTGCAATCACAAACCTGACTCTTAACCTTTCTGGAGAAAGAACTCAGAGAGAAACAACCATGGACTGGAGATGTGGCAGAGTTGTTCAAGTTTTGTGGGCTAGAGGAATAGGGAAGCAATTTCAGAAACTACAGAATATAACCTTAATATTAACCTTCAGTCACATGTGAAAACAGATTATGAAAGCAAATGGTTTCTGAATACTTTCAAAAGCATATTATGATCACTAGAGGTGAGCTTGAATTCAAACAGAATAACACCAAATCAACTAGACTTACATCTTTGAAAAATGTGATTATTAGCCTTTTTTAGAAGGAGAAAATAGTAACTCACAGTAATTGAGTTCTTTCTGTCAGACGCTGTTCTAAGCATTCCATGTGTTTCCTCATTTAATCCTCACAACAATTCACTTTATAGTTGAGAAAACTGGTCTAGATACTAAAGGACTTGCCCAAGATCACACAATTAGCAAAGCCAGAAAAAAATTAAGTGTATTCTGGCTGAAACAATATTCAAGATGGTATTCCATGCTATTTTTGTAAATAAGCTGCTTAAGCCTAAGTTGGATGTTAGTGTAGTTTGCTGCTCTTTATCAACTTAAAGAAACCTTTAGGAGAGTGCCTTGGAACTCTGGCCTTGGCCCTATATTATTTTTGATTATTTATAAGATTACAAAGACACGGAAAACATGTTTATAAAATCCTCAGATTGTACAGTCTGAGAAAAATAAACTAAAATTCAAGTGAACTATAACAATGACAAGTGTAAAGCTCTGCATTTAAAAAGTTAAATGTGCAATACTGAAATGGAGAAATGCTGATGTAGAACCTGTTCATTAGAGGAGTTATCAACCCAAGAGTTTAACAGCAGCTGCTACTAATAATATGGGTGACTAAAAGAACTAACATAAACCCAAATCCCCAGGACACTGAGAACACAGCAGTATCAACCAGTATACTGGTTGCTAATCAGGTTACATTACCACAGTTACATTTTAACCCCTCTACATTTTTAAAGGCTGTATTGATTTTCAAAGACAATAGAGTATATATCCAGGTTAAGGTGAAGATAATGTCAAGTGACAAATTATGCATAATAAAAACGAATAAAATGATGGTCTTCAAATATCTGAAAAGTTGTTAAGAGAATAACTGTTTTTTCCCCTATTTTTAAACGGATGATTTATTTCTTGCTCTTGGTAACAATGTATTCACTTATGAAGTGTTATCCCTACTTACACCACACAGCCAGGAAGTTGTGTTGATGGACAACTTGTGGATACAGAGCAAGCATAAGATTAAGGAATTAACAGAGAATAATTGGTTTATTCAGTATCACTGCAGAGGACAGAAATAAAATGAAGACAACAGCACTATTTACTTACCTTACAGGATGTTAATGAGGACTGCGCTACTATTTGGACAATACACTTCTGGCTTATCAGAAGTGCTCAGTAAGTTTCAGCAATTTTCATAGTATTTAGAGTAAATAATTAATAATTAAGCTCCCACTTTACACTAAACTCTGCAATTAAGATACACTTTATTAAACCCCTGCTCTGACCGCAGGGAATCTGTTGAACTCTGTTTTACAGAAAAGGAGCCAGAGTTTCAGAATAGTTGCTTGCCCATGACTATACAGCTAATAAGTGATGGAACTGCAATTCACATCAAAGGCCCTCTGACTCCGAAGACCGTGTTCTTTATACTACTACATGTCACCTCCAACAATCTAGAACACGTTTTCTCATGTAAAAGGTTCTCAACATACATGACTTGAGCAGTTTCAAAAAAAGCTGAATAAACTTCATAAAAACGTTAGCAAAATATCTATGAATAGTACTGCATGCAGGTTAAATACTTTAAATGACAAGATACTCCTGTGTTCAATAATAACAACTTATTTTTGACAGCTGTCTTCCCACTAAATTTCCAAATAATACCTGCTAATGTCAGCCAAATAACAGTAGCTGTCTTATAATTACAATCAATGATCAGTACTATCAATAACTACTAGTAAACTATGTCTTACTTTTATATTAAAGTATTTGTTAAAGTTTCAGCATGAACACAAATAGAAAAAGTGAGCTGTCTTAGCTTTTGCCCACTCATCCCATCTGTTTTCTCTCTCCCTGTTTTGTTTTATGAACCTTGATTTGATCTGAGATATAGCCTTAAAACATTAAGACTAAATTTAAAAAAAAACGAAATACTTCTAGTTTATTTTGTCTTTATGCTTCAATCACAAAACAAACAATAGTACATTTTACTAATTTATAAATCAATTAGATGTTTGTTCCTAATAGCTATGAGTTGGCAAGCATTTTTATTTGAAACATCTCAAATACTCTTTTGGGGAATTATCTGTCATATATTTTATTCAAATAAGCATAAAATCTGTCACTATTGTTGAATGGAGTAAAAAAGGTGGCATATTAAAGGAATTTTGAGTCCAACCTGCCCTATTATTACTACAGGGTAAAAACAAAGGTCCTGGAGGCTAGGGAACTTAACTGAGAGTTACTTCATGGTAACATCACAATTTGAGCTCTCTCTCAATCCTTCCCTACATTTACATTATCTCATTCCTTAGCAAAGCCTCTAATTATAAGAAGCTCAAAAGCAGCATTTTCATTCAACAAATGTAATGGATCAGATAGTAAAGAATCTGCCTGCAATGTGGGAGACCTGGGTTCGATCCCTGGGTTGGGAGGATCCCCTGGAGTAGGAAATGGCAACCCACTCCAGCATTCTTGCCTGGAGAATTCCATGGACAGAGGAGCCTGGTCCATAATGTCACAAAGAGTCAGACATGACTGAGGGACTAATACTATATCATTTGCTAGACTGTTATGAGAAACTCTAGGCTATTAGAGTGACCAAAACACACATGGCTACTGCTCTCCCTGGAGCTTGCTGTGTGATATGGGATACACGCATTAAACAAATATTCGTATTAACAGCAAAGCAATTACAAATTATGGAAGGTGATATGGCAGAGTATCTTGAGAGGACCTAATTTCAACTGGGGTCACAGGCAAGGCACCTTTAAGGAAGCTAAAACCTAAAGGATAAGTAGGAGTCAGGGAAACAGAGAGAGAAGCAAAGAGGATTCCAGAAAGACAAAACAAATCCAGCTAGGAGATACTTCAAAAGGGAAGCTCATTATTCAGTGTAGCCAACGTCCTTCTTAAACTCAGTAAAGGTAACAGTGAAGAGGTAAACACTTTCTCTATTCGTAATAGCGTAATATTTACCATGATTCTCTACTAGTAACAGGTTTTCCTGGTTTGACTTAGTTTTGTGTGCTAGGAATGCTAATGAACGCAGATAATTTTTTTTTTCTTCTGTTGATAAGCACTGTATTATTTTAATATGTAAAAAACCATGTGGTGTTTTTCAGTGCAATACTTTACAAGTGTCCTGAAGTCAGTATCCATGTTCTACCTCGATACAGGCTTGACTTTGCTTAATAACCTTGATGTTGCTTTTATAGTGCATAAAAAATACAAATAACTTTATTGTTGGTTTTTAAAAAATCATAGTTTCTAGCAATTCCTACATCTATTTATTTTCAAAAATGTAACTATTACCTTAGATTAACATAAATACTTTTCCTCCTAAGAGCTCAGCATTAACTAAATTGTTGCTGGTAAAATTCTGTTCATCTAAACCATGGGTATTTGCATCTCAGTCTTTCCCACAGTCAGAGAACAGAGAGTGAGCACACCAAGCCCCCTCTCTCAGGCAATGAAAACTTTATCTGCTGTTAAGATTACAAACTTCCAGTCTACAAATTTATGTTGGGCTTGATGTATCTACATCACCTCTCTTTGCATCAGTGGTATCTGAGAAATCTGACTAGCTAACAGCCAGTGAGCTATTTCATACTTATGGTCACTATAAACTGACCACAGAAGTGGAGAAAACTTTTCTCTACGCTGAAATTAAAATTAAAACATCTCCAGAACATTATCTCAAGTTTTTTCATTAATGAGACAACTGCTCCAAAGAGGCTCACATACAAGTTCAATTTGAATTACATAATCAGAGAGACTCAAAGTACTATCTGCACAGATTATGAATCACAAGCATAATTATTATTAAATCAAATTTAAAGCTGTATTAGCCAATAATTTCCTAATATCAAGTTCTGTAAAAGTAGTTTCTTTTTAAAATGAGCAATTAACTTCAATATGGTAATATTTTCATCAACTTTAAATGACCATTTATTCTCTTTCCTCCTGTAGGGGATTTTTTCAATTCTTATATAACTTTAAAAATTTGATGTCCGAAAACTTGATGTATTAAGCTTTTGGGGGAATATGGCAGTTTTTAGATGAAACGCGACCCACTAAGAGATATTTCTATTTTAAACAGGTCACCTCATGAAACTGAAAGCTTATAAAACCTATATATTTAAAAGACTCACTACGATTCATCTCAAGATAATAAACAAGTCAACATTCTTAACTTAGGATGGAAAACTGGCTTGTCAAACGAAGTTCCTCTGATCAGGCCGACCACCATCTACATGACCTACTGAAGCAAAACCTAACACGAAGGCTTCTGTGACACGTTTTACATACTTTTATTAAAACGTGAAACTTTTTGGCTGAAATGTCCATGCTTGCTCTGAATCCAGATGCTAACAGGAGGGAGAAGCGGGCTCCCCTATTAAGTAAACCTGGCCTAGACCCGTTCGGGGCAACGAATCCAAAGAAATTCCCCCACCCTCGCTGCATTCAACTTGGGTAAGTAATCTTGATCTAAGCAAAATCACAGCCGCTAAAACTTGAAAAACTGAAGCAGTGAGTACAAAGTAGAAGCAGTGTAAGAGTAATATAACAGTTTCTAGAGTACAAATTACGGTCTTTTAAAAGTTTTCATTTGCCTCCACAGCTCATTAAGGCTGTGTCTAACCAAGTTCAGGGTGTAACTTATCCTTCCTAATCAAAGATGACACTGATAGTCTTATTTCCTGTGGGGATGGGTGTGGTTGAAGAGACAGTTACGTCCAAGCCATCAATCTGTGTATGGAAAAGTCTGCAGCTCTCACACATGCCGTCGCTCGATTTATATTCGTGCCTGCTGCACACGGCAAGGCCTCTGCTTCTGACTTCAAATAAAATCTCCAACAGGCAATCGAATAGTCTGTGGTTATTTTATTGCTCAAAGAAAGAGACGCTCTCCTCAGTGTTTCATCTTAAGAAAAACCTCCCGGGGGTGAGACTGACTCGGAACAACGGGGCAACTTGCAAAACTAAACAAGAGTCAGGAAACTGGGGTGGGGGCTTACGTTCCCTAAGCACCAACGACTCAACCCTTTGAGACGGCTGCAAGGAAAAGCGGTGTAAAGAAAAGGGAAAGGCTCATCCCAAATTCGGCAGCGTGAGTGCCGCCCGTCTGGCGTCTGGAGCTAGCTGCGGGGGGGAGGGGGGATCCGGTAAGAGATGGAGACCGAGGGGCTGAGCGCGGTGGTCGCCGGCGTACCGTGACTCCAAGTTGGCGTCGGCGCCCTCGCCGGAACTTGGCCCCATCTGGCGGCCGCGCCGGCGCCCCCGCTCGCCGGGGCGCCCACCGCCCGCTCCTCCCGCCGCGCGCTCCGCCAACTTCCCGCCCAGCCCCGGCGGCCGCCGCCCAGCCCGGCGCAGGGTCCGAGTCCCGCCGCCCTCGTCGTCGCCGCCGCGTGCGGGCGGGTGGGGGAGGGGCGGCCGCCGCCAACGCCGCCTCACCCGACGGGCCGGGAGAACAAAGCGGCGGCCGCGGCGGCGCTAACTTTTTCGGTGTCTGTTCCGCGCTCCCCGAGGCGACTACTTACAGAGCCTGGCTCGGCCGGTCGTGAGAAACTCCAAGCCTGCCAGCGTCTGGGTCCTGGACCAGGAGCCAGCGAGGCTTCACGCGCCTCGCGGAATCCCGCCCGCCACAGGCGCCCCTTCTTCCCTCCCTCCCTCCGCCCCGTCCCGTCCTGAGGCCCGAGGGCGGGGGGCCGGGGCGTGCGAGGCGGGGGCGCGCGAGGGGCGGGGGCGCGCGGCCGGCGCGGGGCCTGCCGGGAGCTGTAGTCTCCCCGCGAGCTCGAAGCCGTGGTGGCCGCGTGGGGCTGTGGCTCACTGGCTTGACCCGGCGCGGGAGCAACAGGAGCTCCTGTGCTTTCGGGCTCGCTCTGCACCCTCCGAGGTCCTGGCGTCTCCGTGAGCGCTGGGGAGCGGGGCGCGACCGTCTACCTATTCCAGTTACGCCCTGTACTTGATACCCATTATTGCTACTGAACTGCCTTTTTCTCTTTTGTCGTCCGCTCTGATGTAGATGATGGTTGCACGGGGGCAGGAGGTGACAAGTCCGGAACTTGTAAGGGGTCTACAGCAGAGAACAGTTTCCACACTGAGGTGTCTTCTCACTGCTCCCCCTGTTTCCCTCCCCAGTGCTTAGCCGCCGGGTGGCCGCTTGGCACTGCTTCCCAGGGTGTTCCACACCTAGGCAGATACATCCAGAGCCCTTCGCCTAAAGCAGAGTACACCGGCTCTGTCTTCAGAATGTTCTGTGTATCCTACTTGTCCATCTTTAAACTTGAGTGTGTCCCCTATCATCAGAGCGAAATGTCCCCAAGAATCTTGGAACCTAGGTTTCCATGTGGCATTGACAAGAGTGACAATGCCAGGTGAGGAGAGACGGGGGTGGAAGGATATCTAGAGGGAAAATACCCTAGGTGTTAAATTAAACATGTTTTGCGTGAGAGAAAATCGTGAACAGCTGACACACATAGTCCCAGAAACGACCTAGTCCTCGTTTAGTCCAAATTTCATCCCCAGAGTACTTAAGTAAAATATACTGAAAGAAGCGGATGGGTTGCAGGCAATAATTCATCCATCCAGTGCAGAGGTCGAGGACAGTCTTTGAGATTAGGAAGAAAAAAAGCTAAGTGGGTCCCTCCTTTTTATTCCAAGTCATCAATCTTACTGGATGTCCCTGGCTTTAAAGTTAAATGGGAATTTAAAAATAATTTATATTAAAGATGGGGCAAGTAAAATTGTGTATAACTCTGGTCTACTCTGAAGCTGTATTTTTAAATTTTGGGGAATTCAAAGATACTACATGTCTCACATTCAGTAATATCTAATTCAATCTAATTATATTTTATATGTAGTATTATTCTGCTATTCTTTTGCATTAAAATTGAAAGTAAATCCACTCAATGTTATGTTTAAAATTAAAAACATACCTAGGCTCTTACTTAACTTTGCCTTTTTCTTCCCTTCTCTTCCCAACTGATGTTTTAGTCCAACCCCAAATACCCTCTCTCAGCAAGACTCCCAGGAGCTCACTGGACCTGTTTACAGCCAGTCCCTTCTTACTAGTGACTTCCATTTTCACTCGTGGTTCTTAAAGAGACAGAAGTTACCCTTTCTAGAAGTAACTTTTCTAAATGAAGCAACTTGCTATTTTATAGAGGTGCAAATGCATGTGTGTGTGTGTGTGTGTGTGTGTGTGTATGGGGCTTCTCGGCTGGCTCGGTGGTAAAGAATCTGCCCAGCATGCAGAAGATGCGGGTTTGATCCCTGGCTCAGGAAGATGCTCCAGAGTAGGAAATAACAACCTGCTCCAGTATTTTTCCTGGAAAATTCCATGGACAGAGGAGCCTGGCTGGCTACCATTTATGGGGTCACAAAGAATGAAACATGATTAGCACACACACACGTGTATATATACATACATATACCCATATATGTATGTATATCTTCATTTCATTTCCACTTTTTCACTTCTCTTTTTAGAAATAAAATCATCTCCTCCATTCTAGGTGAGTCTTTCAACAATACATTTAAGACTATCTGTACCTGTAATTTTTTTGCTTGACATGAACTACAATTTTCTCAAGATGTTCCATTCTTATTCCAAGAGGACTGATGGGATAAAGATTAGGTATATTAAGTAAATGTGAGATTTTTATACTTGAGAGAAAATATAATCAGACTAAGATGGAAAAAGATTTTTCTTCCTGGCAGTGTTTTTTGAAAATTGGGAGCTTAGTCTTTGTCTTCTGTGACTGTAGTTGCAAATGTTGTCCTAGATTTACTCCACATACACCCCACCCTTCCTTAATATTAGCAACATAACCATTCACATATGTTACCTAATAGAAGCAAAGAGAGTCAACTCTGCTGTGACTTAGTAGCAGAGCATCCTGATTCAGAATCCAAAATGCAGAAAAACATGATTTGTTAAGGCCCCACTGGAAGAAATAGTCATTTGGGAAAAAAAAAAAAAACACACAAAAAACACTTGAGCTCGTTTTAATTTATATAACGTGATTATTGCAAAATTATTTTATTTTTCTGTCTTTTTCCATGACCTTAAAACAAGTGACAAATTTAGAAAGCATTTAGGTGCCAATACAGAGTTAGTAAAATAGGTATGGGAAAAAATGCTTCAGGGTCTGTTTCTTTTTCAGCACCGATGCTCTTGATATATTCTTTAAAATGTCCTTCTCTACTCTAGTTCAGACCCTCCGTATCTGGAGATTTTAGTTGGTCTTCTTCTAGACTAGAGTGAACTGTTATAGCTTCAAACTGTCTTCTCTAATTTGCAGGCTCTAAATAATTGTTCTGTGCTCTGATAGCCTTGATGGATAATTCTCGGGTTACTTAGCACGTTTTATTGTGGACTGAGTATATATAAGATCCCCCTGGGCTCTCCACATCCTCCTTTCCCCTTAATAAACTTTGAGAAGACCGAGGTCTTCTGTTTGGGTATAAAGCCACGACAGGGAGGCTTGGCGTGCTGCGGTTCATGGGGTCACAAAGAGTCGGACACGACTGAGTGACTGAACTGAACTGAACTGAACTGGATGATATCTATCATTTACTAAATACCAGCTCTGGGCCAGGCAATTCACCCTTATTTTTTATAGCTTTCTGTATTTATTCCATATAACACTTCCTTTTTCTTTACTTGCACTTATATGTGGCTTTATATACTTTACTATTTGATTATATATTATGTTATCAATATATATGCAGATAAATATATTTACAAGTATGTATGTATACAAATATATATGTGCATATATATTATAACATAGTGTATAATAAAAGAGAGGTGTCATAAGGTGAGTTCAGCTAAAAGGAGAATTAGAAAAATATAACTAAAGGGAGAGGTTACTGCCCATGTTCTACCTAGGATTTCATATGGTGCCCTTAAAGATTAGTATCAGGTAATTTGCAATAAAAAACAAATTACCTGGCTCATCCACAATAATTCCTGCTTATCTTTGTGCTTGCAAATATATATTCCCCCAAGAAAGAGGAAGTAATGTGCCAATGTCCTTCTGGATTTCATTCTGGTTAAGTATTCATTTAAAACCTCTGTTTGAAATAGTGAAAAATCAGCTATGATATATTTAAAATGGTGGTTGAGAAAGAATAAAGGTGCTACAGACCTAGGTAGAGAGCCAGTATTAAAATTCATTTCATACCAGCATTGAGCAAAGCAGTGAAATTAGAGATGCATGCGGACTCCCTCACTCACAACCTGGGAGCTTCCCCAGCCCTGAAGAGCAAACTGGAAGGTAAGGGTTGGAGCAGGACTTTGAAGACAGAGTCCAACCTAGGCTCTGCCATTTAGCAAGTGCATGCTGCTTAATCTCACTGAGAATCTGTTTCTTTACCTATAAAATAAGGGGAGATAATTACCCTATAGAATTTTTATGAGTATTAAATGAAAAAAAAAAAACATCTAATGAACTAAACCTGTAATGGGCATTAAGGATGCCTGAGGATGCGTTATGAGCCTACCGTTTATCAACCTGTGTGACCATGGGCAAATTAACCTCTGTGCTTCAAGTCTCATCTCATCATCTGTTAACTTGGTTTGTGGTAGTCCTTCCCCCACGATTTGTATAAAGATCAAATGAGCTAGCACATAGAAAACACCTTAAAAAAATTCACATGGTGAATGCTCAACAAATAATAGCTATTATTATTCATGTTGAACAGTTAGAGTTTTTACATCTCCATATCTCCTCCTTTTCAGGCAGCACAGGGAAAGAGAAGTTGCTGAGCTTCAGTCTGTGGAGGGATTTAACGACAAAGAGTTTAAAAAGAACAAGAATTCCTATGGCTATCGAGTAAATTCCTTTGCATTTCATCAAAGGAAGATCCTACTGCACAGATCCTCAACTGACAGAGGACTCAGAAACCATCACTGCAACATTTTCTACACTAGTAGCTTCATGTGTTCGATTGCAGGATAAAATCACTGAACAGTTTTATGCTTATTGGTTTTATTTTTAATATAGTTAGTCAGACTACAAGGACCTGAACATGTTATTATATATTGTACTCTGATCATGACACCTCAAATTTCAAAATCTCAAATCTTTCCAGAAAGAATTGTGACTATGTAACCTTCGACTGTCAATTGTATCATAGTCACTTATTTGATGATGGAGAGTTTAGCTGAAAATTTGTTGTTATTAATTTAGTTTGTCTTTTTTCCCTAGATTTCCCTTGAAACTACAATTCTTGATATATTGATTTACTAAACATTTTTGGAAGACTACTATAAGCAAGGCATTTGATAGGATTTATAGATGAAACAACTCTTGTTCTCAAGAACCTAAAGTTTATTAAGATATGTGAAAGTCTATTAAACGGAGAAGAGAGTAGAATAAATAAATAGAAGGCAAAATAAAATGTCAGAGAAGTATAAAGCATACCACCAGCCTGGGGAGGTCTAAATGCTTAGAAAAAGAGGGTTTTAGCTGGGTTTGGAAGAAAGAAAAGGATTTGGAAAATATGGGGGAGAGGAATGGGGAAAAAAAGACTCTAGGAGGAAACAACAGGAGAAAAAGCACATAGCTACGAAAATATGGGGCACATTTTGGATCAAATAGTTCAGGTAAGCTGAGCTGTAGAATTTTTT